ACTACTGAATACTAGGCCTCTCAATGGGTGTCCAATTCCTCTCAAATGCATTGTCGCTCAATACTGAATGAAATTGAAAGCTCAGGTGTTATGACAGGACAGACACTGACCCGTGAGACAGACGTTAGACGATTGATGAGATGATCAGACCATTCCACACACGCACTCACACACCATGTTTGGGGGCATTCATACCGTTAACTCTCTTGACGTTTTGTACCGTTTAATCACTGACCCTATCGTTACGTATCGGACATAATAATAGATGTCTCCTAATATCAATGCAATGGTTATGAATCCTATCAATGCTTTGGTGTCACGCCTATCGAAATGCCTGTAGAGTCTTGTGGTGTGTCTCTCATTCCTATCAATCGATCCTTCCGTCCGTTTTGAATACTGGCGCGAAAAACGCTGGCAAACGATCCGTCGATTTAATATATAAAAGCGACAAAACGGTTGTACCAATGATTGGCGTATCAGACCCTATGCGTTATGAGAATCTGGTTGAGACAGTCTGTGACCGTAAATGATTGCAATCCAATGCAAAAACCAATCGCACATTCAGACAGAGAGAGAAAACATTGTGTATTTGTATCACTCATTCACTGTTAAACCAAATCATAACCGCTTTCTTTGGTTCCTTTAATGTGTTTTTAAATTGAATGCCGAATACCGTTGCGTTTAAATCTCATAATAAGGTAATCACTTCTTATCTCATTTTGTTTTCCTAACCAATCATTTGAAAAGCTTAGAGTTTTTTATAATGAGGTGTTTTTATATGGCAGTGCAGTCGAGCCGTTAGACACTCAGCCATCGGAATATTCTTTGAGTCTCTACTTCACAGTATATACCAATTACTCCGAGACTTGAGTTATATTCAGATATATAATTAGTTTTATTTTATTTTTAATTTTTATTTCATTTAACACACTTTATTCACTTATTTTTATTTTTCCCATAACTTTGTGCTGTCAATGCGTTGCCCTTTCATTATTATTATTATTATTATTCAATATTTACTCATTTCTTATATTTATCCGCTATTTGTCGGTGTGTTTTGCTATTACTTTAACTACTTTTTAACATTCGTATCTCTAATATCATATATATTTTTCTCAATACATTGTGAATGAATTGCCAATTGATTGTATGTGCTATGCCGTGCGGTCACTGACTTGTGTTTTGTCTGTTATCCACATCTTAACGAAATCTCCAGGACTTAAAGGACTTCATGAGACAGGCCGGAGAAGTGACGTATGCGGACGCACACAAACGCGAACGCAATATGGGGTAAGACTACCGTTTATGACTACTATTTTGAGCCTACATTTGGTGCTAATCTGTGGTTATCTTATTGTTGCACAGAATCGTTGACTTCGCCTCCTATACGGACATGAAGAACGCGTTGGAAAAACTGGACGGCACTGACCTCCACGGCCGCCGCATCAAAATGATGGAGGACAAGACCCGGCGCCGGTCGAGGTCGCGCTCCCGTTCCCGCTCGAGGTCTCGCCGGAGCTCGAAGTCCAGGAGCCGCAGTCG